ACCCTACACCCTAAACCGTAACCCTAAATCCTAAACCCATTCCTGTGAGAGGCTTCGGTTTCCGTGTCGCTGATACGCAGGATTACTGGGACATGGGTCATCCTTGATGGTTAGCTACTACGCCATGGTATCACCAAATGTGCTAGCATACTGTAACCTGTTTTTTCGATTCTAACTGTTGATTCCAGTGCTATGGCACTTAATGCGATGCTGGTTCTTCGCATCGCGGCCATTGTGGTAGCCGTCGCCGGTTTCGTTGTGTCATCGCACTTGTTGCCATGCTGTGTTATGCTTGCCGCCGGGTTTCGAATACCCCAAACCCTACCCTCAACCCTAAAACCTAAACCCGAAACCCTAAACCCTAAGCCCTAAAGCCGAAACCCTAAACCCTGACCCTAAACCCCTAAACCCTGACCCGAAACCCTAGGCCCTAAACCCGAAACCCGAAAACCGAAGCCCTAAATAAGACCGTAGAGCCGTGGAGCTCAAGAGCCGTGAGTTTATTGGGACCTCGTCATTACTTCTCCGGACTTTCAGTTCCAGAGATCTGAGAAATGCCCTGTTCGTAACTCTGAACGGGGTTTAGGGTTTAGGGTATAGGGCTTTAGGATTTTAGGGCCTACAGGGTTTAGGCTTTGGGGTTGCAGGGCTATTTTGGGGTCTCTAGGGTTTCGGCTTTAGCGAATCTCCGGGCTGCCGGCTTTGAGGCTTAGGGTTTAGGGCCCTAAGCAGCCTGAACGTCACTAAAAACTAAACCCCCGACATCCACAGCAGAAAGCCTTAAACAAGCCACAGACATGGTTAAACACTCAACTCCTAACCTTAAACAAACCAGCCCCTAAACCCGAGGGCCTAAACCCTGAACCCTTGTATTCAGCCACTACAGAACGCTCATCTGAGCCCTTCCCTTGAAAGGAACCCCTCAAAGGAGCTCCTTAACTCAAAGGAATTCTTTAAACAACACCGTATACGGGAATCCTTCAAAAGAGCCCTCCCCCTTATGTAAAGGCTCCTGAGAAAACGCAGGAGGATGACGTGGACATCGCCGACGACGCGGAGACGCAACGGGCCTTGCAGAAGGCCATGGGAGGATTCGAGGCAGCGTCTCGGAGCTTAAGAGTCCTTCTTTTTTTTGGGGGGGGAGGGGGGGGGGTAGGGGGTGCGGGGGTGGGTTGATTAGGGTTTGGGGTTGAGGGGGGGAACTGTTGTGCAATTAGTTCTCTCTCACTCTCTCTCTGTCTCTGTCTGTCTCTGTCTGTCTCTCTCTCTCTCACTCTCTCTCTGTCTGTCTCCCTAGTATTGGTATTAGTACTGCTGCTTTAGTGTGATTGGTATCATTATGATCACGCTTATTGTGTTTATTCGTGTCATTTGTTGGGGTTGAGGGTCCATGATAAGGATTTGGGTTTCAGAGGCTTGTGCAGGGTTTTTAATAGGGCGTTCATAGTGTGAGGTTTCGAAAGGGGTTTTATAGGTTTTCTTAGAATTCGCTGGGCCGTCGTTATGAATGAAGAATTGTAGGCGCTTGTATGGGTTTACGAGGGAACAGACGTATATCACTGGACCCTAAACTTCAAATCCTATATCCAAAAGGCTTTCTGGGGTTCGATTGTTGGATACGCTTTGATGGTTGTGGGGTCCTTTTAGTTATTGGGTGTTGGCTTAGGAAATAACGCAGGCAGGCATGAGTTCTTGATGAGCTTTGAAGACTTGAATTCGGATCTTCTTGCCTGTAGGATTCCCAAAAGGCCCACAAATGACGACGTAGATCCTCGTCCTCAACAGTGTAGCCAGCTAGCAACACCTCTGATCGGTGCTTTTGGGCTTTTTGGGTTTGGTGTTTGTGGTTTCAGGTTTGAGGATGTTGGGTTTAGTAGGTATCATGTCACGGCTTGTGTATTGCTGGCCAGCATTATCCTTACACTACGTTTTACTTGCACGGTATTGTCGTTTTTCATGGACAAAGCAGGAGTTTAAACCCTAAGCCGAAAATCGTTCGTCCATCGCACAAAATGCTGACCTCCGGCCTTTCCCACGTAGTGTCCGGATGTCGTGGTAAGTTCTAGGAGGGTTTCGGGTTTAAGTGATAAGGGCTTAGGGTCTAGTTTCTAGGGTTGTGTTTCGTGTCCTCTGTTTCAGCATCTGCATGAACCTTCTTGCTCACCCGACTGACGAAGTCGTCCAAGTGCTATAAGTGCTTCATGTCTGGCCTCCCTGAGGTTGCATTCCCGGCTGAGCTTGCATGATTCCCTGGTTACGATTGCGAGTCTGCTAGTCAGAATCTGTAGTATTGCGCCATTTAGACTCAGAGCATTTCTGTTATTGAAGCATGGATATCTATAGACATGATCAACCCCCAAACCACACGCACACGATCTGTTACATGTAGAATTTCCACACGTAGGAGCAGGAGTTAGGATTCCTCCTAAAGCCTAAGCCGAAAGCCGCCGAAAGCCTAAACCCAGGAAGAGGATGATGTGGACATCGCCGATGATGCGACGACCCAGAGGGCCCTTCTGAAAGCCATGGGCGGTAGCGAAGCTGCTCCTTGGTGAATGTGGGACTTGGGGCTGAAAAGTTTAGGGCTTTATTGGCGCTTAGGGTTCAGGGTGGTTTCATGAGGGTTTAGGGCTGTAATTAGGGTGTAGGGCTTTAGGGATTAGGGCTTTGGGAGGGTGTGATGCTGTAGTGTTTAGGCCGTTTAGGCCTTTTAGTAGGGTGTGGGGCTTTAGGGTTTAGGGTTTTAGTAGGATTTACAGGGCTTTGGGGGTGAGGTCTTTGTTAGGGTACAGGGCTTTAGGTCCAGGGTTTTAGAAGGGTTTAGCGCTTCGGAGTTTTGGGTTTTGTTAGGGTTCGAGGCTGCAGGGCCGTAGGGTTTTGTCAAAGTTTGGGGTCGGGGTTTAGGGTCTGTGCCAGAGTGTCGGTGGGATCACGTGTGTCAGGGTTCTTGGCTTCAGACTCTAGAGTGTTGTTGAAGTTTAGGGGTTGGATAGTGGTATTGCTGCGATTTTATGACTATCAGCCTTGGAAATTCCTCGGTTGTTGTCCTAACCCTAAACCCTTAAACCCTAAACCCTGAACCTAGACCGAACCCGAACGGGCAAACTTTACACGTCCTCTCAAACCCTTCTCACATCCTGGCAAAGCTTGCAAGGAATCCGAAGTTGAAGCCGCCTGGGACAAGGCTGTGGAGTTCGGCGTTTTTGGGATTTCGTATCGGAAACTATGGTCTAGGGATTTAAGGGGTTGGGGTTCAGGGTTTGGGGTTGCGAGGATTGGAGGCGGGATCGGGGTAGGCTGTTTATTTTCAAGCCGACATGGCTGAAGCACTATTGAGACGTTTCAAGAGTCATCCCTAAACATCACACCCAGAACTCCAAGCCAGCACACTGAGCAAAAACCTGATTGTTTACGGCCAGGGAGGCGTGGCTACTGGTTGGCGTTTAAACCCTTGGGTCCCGAAAGATCGCCTAACCCCCAAAGCCCACCCGAAGCCCCAAACCCTAAACCCTAAACCCCCTGCAGCCAAGCCCCTATGGATCCTCAACCTGAGGCGCAAAACTCAGATCCTTGAGAGCCAAGAGCCCTAAACACATAAAATCAGAATCCAACCCTTTTTTCCCCTTCATACAAACCCTCGTAGAGGACCCGTCTTCCATAGGACCTGGGGTATAGGGGTTGAGGGTTGAGGGGTGCAGAGATTCAGGGTATAGGGTTTGCATGTTAGAGGCTGTCGACTCAGACCCCAATCCAGCAACAAAGAATTGGATTAGGGCTCCTTCAAGTTAGATTGGGGCTCCTTCAAGCAAGCCGGTCTATAAGGGTTCCTAAAACGGAGTTGCGAGGGTTCAAGAGCATAGGGACCGGAATAATTGGACTAGGCCTTGGATAGATTCAGAGTATAGCTGCATAGGGACTCAAAGGTGGTATTACTACTACTTGTACAGATCTTTACAGTAAACAAAGTCGCGTTTTCGGGCATATAGCTCTATGGACCAGCATTTTCCCGCAGGAGCCTGCGCTTCAAAACCTTAAACCCCAAACTCCTAACCCCAAAACCCACGCCCTAAACTCTAAACCCTAAGCACTATAAAGCACTATAAAGCCCTGGCCCACGCCACAGGCCCTAGGCCCGGGCACTGCCGAAGCAGAGGCCGAAGCCTTTGCAGTGGGGATGAGGGCTTTCTGGAGGGGTTGCGAGACGTGTCATCATCATCATCATCGTCGTCATCGTCATCGTCGTCATCATCATCGTCATAATCATCACCAACAACATCATCATCGTCATCAGCATCATCGTCATCATCGTCATCATCGTCATCATGATCATGAACCTGATCATCATCATCATCTTCATCATCGTCATCATCATCGACGTCATCATCGACATCATCATCGACATCATCATCGACATCATCATCGACATCATCATCGACATCATTATCGACATCATCATCGACATCATCATCGACATCATCATCGACATCATCATCAGCATCGTCATCAGGATCATCATCATGATCATCATAGTGACAATGATCATCATCATCATCATCATTGTCATCGTCATTGTCATCACCATCATCATCATCGTTATCGTTATCATCACCTGCATCATCATCGTCATGGTCATCATCATCATCACCATCATCATCGCCACCATCATCATAATCAAATCATCACCTTTGTCTTTGTCATCTTCTTCTTCTTCATCATCATCCTCATCATCATCATCATCATCATCATCATATGCCTCGTCATATTCATCATCATCGTCATATTTCATCGTCACCCTTCTCTTGTTCTTCGTTCTATAATCATCATCATTGTCATCATCACCACCAGCATCACTATCATCATCATCATCACCATCATCACCACCGTCTTCTTCGTCATCTTCTCCATCATCATCACCATCATCATATTCTTCCTCATGGTTGGAGTAAGTATAGTAACGTCAATACCAGCAACAAAAAGCAAGGTGAAGAAGAAACACATTCGTAACGGTCATCTATGTGTGCGCACAGTAGTAAGCCTGTTGGCTGCCTTGACACCTATTTGGGCACCTCCACGCAGAACCTCTGGTCCTGTTCGGATCAAGAGGTTAGGTTTCAGAGTTTAGGGTTTAGGATCTCTGAGCCTAGAGAAACATGAACTGTTGTTTGCCACTCTGCAATATCATCAAAGCCCCTTCTCCTGAAGGTCTCGGCCGAGTCACAGGCGCAGACGACGGCGGAGGCGACGGCCGAGCCCATGGCGGAAGTGGAGGCCGCAATGGAAGTGATGGCACCTTATCCAGGGGCCCTTACAGTGATGTTTAGGGTCCTGGGTTGGGCAGGAAAGAAGGCTTCACGAAAAGCAGATCAGGCATACACAACGCATATGTAGTGGTGATGAATGTCCCAGTCGTCGCAATGTCTAAATCGTAAACGTTAGGCCCCTGAACACTGAAATCCTGAAAAGCTGATTGCTGGAACCCACCAATCCTTCAACCCTATGTTATAGGGATCTGAAAATGTTCCAACAGTATACCTTGCCGTCCGTTATGCTGCACTGACCCGGGAGTCCTATTCCAATCAGTAAGACCCCTTATGTTATTTCATATCAGCCTCCTGTCCTTGTCCAAGCTGCGACGCCCGAACCGAGATCGCTGGGAGGAAAGGAGTAGTAGCACGTCGAATGCACCTGGCAGTTCGATTCTTGAAGGGCAAGATATGAAGAGCCTAAGCTCCATAAGTCCCAACCCTTAGCCCTCAGCCGTAACACCCGAAAGCCAAATCCTACCTAAACCCTAAGCCTTTTGCCGTAAAGCCCCTCCAAAAACAAATGCACAACACAACACACACACACAAGAGCCCCGAAACCCGAAATCCTAAACCCTAAGTCCTCATCCTAGGCCAAGACTCTATCGGCCGGTCTTCAAGTGTCGGATCCCACCAAGGATGTTGGATCATGTTGGGGCTCCCCGAAGGGTGGTAACTGATGTCGTCGTATATCACCTGCTGTGTGACCCATTTGTTTTTATCGTAGTTTGCTATCTGCTTTGGTTTCATTATATCACGTCTTTCAATATGTATGAATTTTGCATTAGAGTATACTACCATATTATATTACGTACCTTCTGCATGATGATTGGTGGTGAAGTGCCAATTACATTTCGGCACGCCATAGTGACGAGAATAATATGCTAGTGTTGCTGGCAGTACGTACAGCCACATCATCTTTGTGCCAAGTGTCGGTAGGCAACGGTCCGCCCAAACCCTTAACCTTCACCAGGGCCGGAAAGAGTCCCTTAGAAGCTGATTGAATATTAGATTCCCGAACCCCTAAGCCTTAGATCTGAGACAGAAGTTCCCAAGCATTTGGCCCTAAACCCCAAGCCCAAAACACAAGGCCATACTCCCTTTGCCCGAAGTCTTCTGGCTTGCCAGGCGGCGGCCCCGGAGATGGTGGCCGAAGCTGTTGAGACCGAACCGGCCGCCGAAGAGAAGGCGAGGTGTGCGAGGTGTTTTTAGCATTTCGAGTTTTTTTTCTGCATGGGTAGTTCTCTAAATTAGATAATTAGGGTCCCTCTTCAGGTCCCCACAATAGTCCGACACCCTTGTACAAATGACCCTACAGGGACCCGACCCTGATCTAGAGAACTACCCACATAGAAAGAAGATTAAAACACAACCCAAAATCTCTTGACTCCAATGAGTAGTAGCCTATCCTAATGCAGGCTTGCAATGACTTGGATACTGACCACTCAGTAACAGCTGGACAATAGTTATCCGATATATATATATATATACACATGTATATACGAAATTCAAGTAAGCTTATTATTGACTGCTACTGTTACTGTGGCTAAACCCTAAACCTTAAACCCACCCCCAAACCCTAAACCCCAAACCCCTACACCCCCTAAACCCTTAAACCCCAAACCCCTAGAGCCCTACACCTTGGGCGGGACCCACGCAAAAACTGAGGAGGCGGCTACAGAGCCGGCTCCGATGCCGGAGCCTGCGGCAGTGGAGCCCACGGCTCCGGCTGCAGCGGCTGAGCCGGCTGCTGCAGTGGCGGAGGTGGAGGCGGCTTTTCGACTGGGTAGATTAGGTCTGTTGATGTTCATGGTTACCTTTATCTCTGTTGGTTCATTTTGTTTAGTTTCGGCCTTGGCATTCCGTGCCTCTTTCTCCTGCTCTTCCTTATAATTCTCTTCTCCTGCTCTTTATCATCATCTTTGTATTTATCTTCGTTTTATCCTCAGTTGCCCAAGGCGCAGCATGTCGAAGAGGCAGCTCCTGAGGCGGAGGCTGTGCAAAAGGCCCGCTTTGGCGCTGCTGGCTGTGGGGTTTAGGGCCTTTAGGGTTTAGATCAGAATGTGGAGGAAAGCTTGTTGATCAACATCGGAGTAGCATTATTTGTTGGGGCTGCCGAATCTTGCCCCTAAAAAATCAACATACCTCCAAAAACGCTTTCAGTGCTATATACAGATACCCAGTGTGAAAATGCATGCTCATGAAACATGCATACATGCGTACATGAATGCCTGCAGGCGTACATATACGTATGTACACGCATGCATAATGTGTCTGCATGTGCGCTGGCCGTATGGGTGCAGGTGTTGTGGCTGGCTCGGGACAGTGATTGAAGCGCAAGCCCAAAAGCCTATACACCCTAAACCCAGAGGCCGCCATAGGCCCCAATCACCGAAATCTTTAAGCCTAGGCGCCTAAATCCTAAACCTAAAGCTGTTCATAGCGGAGATGCAGTGGAACATTTTTTCCTTAAAACCCTGAAGCGCATGGACCTCGTACCCTGCAATCTCCTGAAACCCCTACAATACAAACCTGAGAGTTGCAGCCTGAACGCAGCAGCCACCGTAACCCCCCGGCCTCTTCGTTTCCGGGTTGTATACTTTTGTACATCCTTCGTCCCCCTTGCAACAGCACAAGGATTGGAAGGATCGNNAAGCCTAAACCCTGAACCCCAAACTCCGGAAGCTAGGCTGGCCCTACGTGCCAGTTTCAAACCCTGTAAACACGAACACCCCTCCCTCTCGAGCTTTTTCTTAAACCCTAAAGTCCTAGTAAAGCTTGAGCGCAGGATGGCGCGGAAGAGTTTGCTTTACCTGACTTTGCCGAGGCATTAGGGTTTTTGCCGGACAGATCACCGGGCTTTCCGGTTAAGGGATTGTTTTGTCCGAACTTTCGCAATGATTCAATAAGTCCTCAAAGGTGTATAGCAGTTTGTATAGGTTGAAAGTTATGGGGTTCACAGAGCCTTACAGGTTTTGTAGACCTTTTGCCTGGCTTTGGGTGTTTCGGGCTTCTGGGCGTTTAGAGTCCAGGGTTCAGGTTCGACTCCAGGTGGAATTTCCGTTTGAATATCGTATCCTGTAGGCTGCCCGAGTATCTGTACACACTCCTACGCCTTAGTTCTAATTAATTGGGGGGGGGTCGCACAGTTTTGATAGTGTCCCCTCCTGGTCCTTGTTTCAAAACTATAAACCCTGCATAACACGCCCCCCCCCCCCCCCCCCCC